AATGCTGCCTACTTTAAAGCATTGGATACAATACGCTTTCAAAATACATCAACTTTTTCGAAACAATCGTGTTCTTGTTCCGCGAGACGTGCTGCAAGCGCGATGTCACACAATTTCAAATAGCTTGCAATTGAGTATCTATCTTTCTGAGATGATCGCCGTGAATGTTGGCATTGGTTATAGAGCATTCACAATACACACATAATTGTGCATTTCCGTGCGTAAGCATTCTTGCAGTCGCACACCAAGTGGTGAAACCTAAGACATTGGTCGCAAGGCACATGCCATGATATTCGCGGATGATGGACATCAAAACATGGTTGTGGTCGTCGTAATCTATCTGGATGGAACGAATAGCCACGTGTCCCGCTAGGAGTGTGAATTGCTCAAAAGCTGCTTGCCAATGTAAATGAAAGATGATTGTTATACTGGTTGATTAGATCATCTCGAGCTCAAATACCATGGCTTCCACCAGTTTTTTGAAAACGAATCTGACCTCACGGTGTCGATCTTCTAAACAACCGACCTGAATCGTAGCATTACCGTGTTAAAATGTTGGCGTAGCTCGGTGTCAATAATGGCATGCGAAATGTTCGTCGTCAAAGAATCTGTGGCACGCAGGGTGCTCGTCGAATCGACGAAAGCTAATTCAAATTTTCGACGACTTTACATTCCTGGGAATCACCAAAGACCTATGAGTTGGAAAATAGCAAATCGTGTCCATCTTGTTGAGCAGATGTTGATATCATGGAGTAGTTGACGTGGTAATGGCTTTTGTCGTCGAAAATCGAACCCGATCGGGAAAACACCATATGATAACAGGATGGAGGTGGAACTCGTTGATGACATCACGTTCATTTGATGTGACGGTCAATAAATGAGGACCCGCGGCTTTGCAGGTGCAGCTTGTGGTGGAATACATGAACCGCGTTTTTTTGCAATTGCCGTTGAAATCGTGCTCGACGGAATCTGCAAGCGCTGATGTGCACGCATAGCTAGTCTGAGTGCTGGATCGATCAAGTCACCGCAAAATCAAGCCGATGAGCCAGATGAAGGGTAGTGAGCTTCTCCTCTGAGTAAGGCTCTCGGGGGAAAGCTTTATATGTGCTCCGATCACGGCTGTTTCACATCGATGACTTCCTTTTACGTCACCCGTGTACTTTATCCATGCGCTTTCATCCACGCGATACGTATTGTGTGATATTTCCGAGACTTGAACCAACATAAAAGAACTAACTAGTTACTGACATAGATTACTTGCGCTGAAGTACGACCTTGTAAGGTACACCGCTTGACTCATAGCCATTCGTGCTTTAACAATCATGCGAAGTTATTCACAGCGACATCATTATCATACCGTTTAAGGTCTGTATGTGCAACAACACAGGGCACCCACGGCCCGTGTATCCTCTTATTCATATACACCCAAACATCATGATGAAAGGCCGTGGCGTGTTAGCGAAAGTTGCTTAGTACTCAATCGAAGGATTTACCAGTCTATAACTCCCAATTGCAACGAAGGAATTGGTCAATCGACGATAAATCTGATCTTTGTAGTGTCTAACCGCAGTCAATGTTCATTAATAAAAGCACCCTCAAATTGTTTTCGTCGGTCCTGAATTCAAATTGCTTTCATTAGCGCATACACTCAAGGATCACACGAGATTGATATCAAAATCTGACTCCCTGTACTGTACACAAATATTGACATACAAAAAATGAGTCGTCGATTCGCTGGTGTGTATTCCCTGAGGCACACCTAGCCACTCACACTTTGTTCAAATATCAGTTCCTGCTCAGTGGCCATAGTGGAGTATATTATGCACAACGTTATCAGCTTCGACAAGGCTACCGGATACTATTGTGGTTGAACGACATCCTCCTTGCCGCAGCGTGTAATCCAATCAGAATGCTCTGAGAGTGGCTGGTTACACTTCCGTCGCTAGTGATGCTGCATCGTGCATAAGTGACAATCAAAGTCATAGTCACAAATCAATTTTCAGGCTGTTAAAATTTCTAGATGCGCTTGTCCGGCGCCGCAGATACGATGCACAAAGTATCACAACACCACAGAGTAAATATTGCAATAATAATATATTCTTAAAATGTATCCTAATCCCATGGCCTGGGATCTGCCATCCGCACCCCGTATTATGACCGTTGAGCCGTTA